AGTGCCTGTTTTGCAGGATATTTTCTCTGTTTATAAGCCATTTTTCTACCAAACACCGACTTGTTGAATCTGCTCATAATCATAAAAGTAGTGCATAAGTTACATTTTTGTTGTTGACACTTGAAACGAGTGAAATGCAGAGAAGTGATACCTTGGCATAACATTTTTTCTAATTATCTGCCGTATCAAACCCTAAGACAGTAAGACCCTATTTGGTAGCACTAATCGGCTTATTCTGCTATCACTGGAATAAGCAGAGTTAGTACTTAGTAGCCCTTAATTATTTGACTGAAATTGGTTTTACCGAACGCTTTTCATTTCACAAATTTTGACGTACCCTTTCAGTTAAATAACTCTCAACAAGTGGCCCCTAATTTGTTTAGCAGCACTAGCATAATATGTCGTATAAGAAAAACAACATTGCAGTTTTTTTGGGTAGAACTAACTTAAATGAAGGTAAATGCCTCATCCACCCCTATAATATTTACAGAGTTATATTTTTTATTTTTTAAAATACAAATTTAGACAATTCAGTCCCATTTTAGAAAATATAACTACTCCAATCATTTCAGCTGTATTTCCGCTCACTAAACCGGTTCTTAAAGTTTCTCCTCATATTTCTTTGACCAACACGCTACAATGTTGCTTCATTGTATTGCTCTCTTCAGAGTAGTTAATATCGTAATGCCACTGTCTTTTAGGTGTGGCTATCCTGCCCGGAATGCCTCGTATTATGACTTGAGTTTACTTCCAAAAAGTTCAAATAAGGATTGCAAGCTCTACAAAAACAAAAGGGACATTAAGTGCTATCACTGTGATTCCTGCAAGTGAGTGTTACAGCTTGTTTGTTTGTTTCTCCTGACTCTTTCTTCCAGTGTCCAACACATGCTCCATTCCTTTCTTCGCTCAGGGCTGGAGTTGCTCAGTACATGAAAACTGAATGGAGGGTGGTGGCAGTCTTTAATCTCATCCTCTTTCCCACCCTTGTAAGATGTGCACTAGTATCTTTGCATATATTGAATTTGATCTAACTCATTTCATAAGATCCTCCCGAGGCGGTGAGGTTTTTCTCACACTTATATAGTTCTATGACTCAAATCGAGTAAACATTCGAGGTGGGACATTTATACACACATATGTTAATCCAAATCGGGTTTGACAACTAATAGCACGATAAATGGGCAAAACCAACCTCAAATCTCGAGGCGCCAAACAAATGAACACATAAATAAGAACTGGAGTCGACTTGATGCTATATTAATTTATTAGACTTACTCACCCTTAAGGATCCTCAAAGGTTAGATTACCTCAGACTTGTATATTGGAGTACCGAGTAGGCGAGTATGAGTATTTGACTAAATCCAGTAAAGACTCAATGTGGACCATTAACATTAGACTATAAATTAACTTTACAGTTATATGGATAGAGATGAACATTATGGTTGTTTCTGTGTTCCAGACAATTATCTACTTGGTGGGGTGTTGCGCCAGGAGAAATGCTGGCTGGAGCCAATACAAAGTGTGATGAGAATGAATTAACTTCTTTCTTTTTTCTTGTAAGAACAAAATGAGTCTCAACTGGAAGTTTTTGATGGAGATATATATTATGTTTTTGAAGTCATGATTGGTACAATGCATCTTCATGCATGCATACGAAAGAAGTTTATGCAGTAAGAGAAAAGGAGGGGAAGAAGGTGAAGTCGACATCATTTACCATGTGATTGTTACTACTGACTTTTACACTTATATTAGTCCCTAGTATTGCTGCCATCCCTCCACCTCAAAGGTGGCATATAAGACATATTGACATGCCCACATGCAGTGATTTCTATGGTTATGTGAAAGGTGAATCGCGGTTGTCACACATATATATTTGGAACTATGTTCCGGTTGGTGAGGTATCTTATGAACAAAAGTATTGGTGTAAAGTGTACATCTGATATGCTAAAAAACAATTTCTATACCAATCTTTTTTTCTTTCTTTTTGAATTTTGCGCTGATGACTCTTTTATCTCACATAAGTTAAATACTACTATTAAGTACTCGTAATAATTCAAAGTATAAGATCATTTACTACTTCTCTAAGGCTCTATCAAGTAGAACTTTTATGATGAAAACTAAGCTTAGTTGTGGTTTGTTCATTTGGCACTAGGGGTGGACTCGGGCCGGGCCTCGGTTCAGGAAAGGGGAGGCCCGGAACCGGCCCGGGTAACCCCCGGGTCCGGGCCGGGCCGGGCCTCGGTTCAATTTTTTTTTTGCCTTTTAATAATTAACCCCTAACCCCCCCCCAACCCCCAAACCATCCCAAATCATCTCAAATGACCCAAAATACCCGGCCCAACCCAAAAACTTAAAAAAAATTCAAAAAAAAAAAGAAAAATAAAAATAAAATGACCCGGACCGGGCCCGAACCGGCCGGGCCGGTTCACGTTTTGAGGGGCCCGAGCCCGGACCGGAACCCCAGTGGGTCGGGCCTACCCGAACCGGTCATTGACCGGGCCGGAACAGTGCCGGTTTGGGCCGGTTCCGGGTCGGGCCACCCGGCCCGAGTCCAGGCCTATTTGAGTCCAGGCCTGTTTGGCACCCCATAGTTTGGACTTTGGAACTGGTTTGAATGTTTGATCTATTTATGCCCCTCTAGTTCGTTGTCTAAATGAACTTTGGTTGTGCTTTTCCACACCGGTTAAATATTAAATATTATCCAACTAATAAGATCATGGACTAATATTTGTTAAAATAATTTGTATTCATCCTTTGTAAAATGAAAAAAAAAAAGAATACAATAAATAAAGGGTTTTTTACGAGAATATTACTAAAATAAAACTTATTTACATAAATATGACTATTCATTACTACAACGTAGTGTTGTGGTAACTAAAGTTCAAAACTTGAACATGAATTACTATGATTTCATTACTACTCTAGTAATGAATCATATTTTTGTAAATCATCTTTATTTTGATCATGTTTATGTAATTATTTCATAAATAAATACTCCGTATGTTCTTCCTAACCAACATATGAAGTTTACAAGGGTAACAAAATTATAAATCTATGTTACAATCAACTGTAATCGGATAGTTTCTCATTGTAGAATAGTAAATTTGGGACTAAAGAAATAGAGATTACGGTATGACTAAATTTGGGACTAATTACGGTCTATGACTCTTCCAAAGAAATAGTTTCTTTTTAATTTTGTAACATAGTACACCCTATGGCTCTAATTTGAAATATGAATGAAGGTCTATGATTCTAGAAAAAATGCCAACATGTTTTAGAAATGTCATCTAGGTGGTAGTTTTTTTTGACATTTTCAAAGAGTACAAATGTCATCTTCATGATATTTTCAGGAAAAAATAGTTCGGAGTAGTTTTTACACAAAATGACATTTTAACCGATCAGAGTTAGCATTGTTGTGCAGTGGCCGAACCTATGGGAAAGGTCTCCATTCTTTTTATATTTTTTAATGTGTTTTATCTATTTATTTATTTATTGTTAAGTTTTTTTTTTGAACTTTTTACTTTTTTTTAATTTTTATTATTCTACTATTTAGAATTTTTAATATTTTTTTACGATTATTTGTAAAAAATAAAATAGTTTTTAGATGTTTTTCCTAAAATATTACTAAAACAAAAGGCATGAACAAAAATGTGACTTAGTAACTTTTAGTGATTATAAATGTGTTCAAAATTCATATCATAGTAACTAGACCATAGTAACTTTCAATACAATTATAATTACTTAAAGTTATCAAGTACTACGTAACATTTTTGCCCATCACTTTTTCAGGAGTAATATTTGTGGAATTTTTTCTATTTTTTATTACTTTTGTTTTTTATTACAAATTCAAATATGATTGTTCTATTAAGTTAGACTATTAGGGTAATGGTAGAATAGAAAGATAATGCGGAGTATATACTTTAGTCTTATTATGAGAAGATAAATGAGTAAAGGGTCAGATTGGTACTCGAAATTGCATAAAAAATGTCAAATAAGTCCTTACTGTCTGGCCGTCGCCATTTGGGGCGGTTCCCGATGGAAGTTTTTGACGAATTTTTTTTGAGCATATTATTCATTAAGTCTTGTTTACTCATACTGAATTTCAGCTAAAACTTCAATCGGGAAGACATTCAAATGAATTCTTGAAGATAATTGCGCTTTTAACTGCGCAGTTATCTTCAAGAATTCATTTGAATGCCTTCTCGATTGAAGTTTTAGCTGAAATTTGGTATGAGTAAACTAGACTAAATGAATAAGATGAGAAAAAAAAATCGTCAAAAAATTTCATCGGGAACCGCCCCAAATGACGACGGCCGGACATAACCTCCTATATAAGGACTTATTTGACCCTTTTTATGCAACTTCGAGTACCAATCTGATCCTTTACTCGAAGATAAATACATAGTCATATTTATACATTTAAAGATGATTTTAATCCTATTTAGGGGTATTATCTCTAAGAAAATTACTGTTTTTATTCATATCTTAAAAAAATCGCAGATCAATAATTTTTCTCTCAAAACTCAAAAGTTTATAAGCCACACAAAGATGTCATTTGAAAAATGTAAGGAAAAAATATGAAGACAGCCCCTAAAAGAGCAAATGACGAGAATATTGGTTGGTGAGACGATCCTCTCCATAGACTTGTAGCGCCCCAATGAGAGAGTGATTGCAACAACTAAAAAAAATGTTTCTCAATTTTGACTTAAGAAGGCACTTATTTATCAAACACTATCAATTTTTACTTTTTCTCGGTTTGCGTGTGAAATTGCTTTTCCCTTTTCTATTACACAAAAAATACTTATTTTACCAAACACTACCACTTTTTACTTTTCAAAATGACTTTTTTCTCAAACACTATCGACTTTTACTACTAACCATTTTTTAAGCAGAAACAGTGGCAAACACTCCCCAGGTTCAATCGAGGCCGTCCAAAAAGCGCGGGAAAAGCCATACCGGCGATGCTACCCAAAAGGGCTCAAACTTCAAAACGCTGTTGCGGTGTAAACTGTAAATCCACACATTTCCGCTTTCTCTCTGTCTCAGTTTATCACAGAGCATTTGCTGTAAAACAATCTCATTCGTTGTCTTCTTCATCTTCTCCAAAAGAAAACGAGAAGTAGAGATGGCACCCAAAAAGAGAACGGCAGTGGATCCTTCTTCTAGGGTGACTCGGAGCTCAAACCGCCTCGTCAACGCCAACTCCGACACCCAACCGCAGCCGCCGAAGGCCAAGAAACCCAAAAAAGCCGTCGCCCCGAAGAAAGCCCAACAGCCGCCGCCCGCCGAAGATGAGGAAAAAGGCCAGCCCCAGTCGTCACCGGAGAAGCCGCAGTTGTCACCGGAGAAGCAAGGCGCAGAGGTTTCAGATGTTGCCTCGAAGACCATCATCATCGAGCACTGCAAGCAGTGCAACTCGTTCAAGACTCGGGCTTTAAAGGTGAAAGAAGGGCTAGAGAAAGCCATTCCCGGCGTGAAAGTGGTGGTTAACCCGGAGAAGCCGAGAAGGGGCTGCTTCGAGGTCCGTGAAGAAGATGGGGAGAAGTTCATCAGCCTTCTGGAAATGAAGAGGCCGTTTCAGCCGATGAAGGATCTTGACATGGACGAGGTCATCTCCGGCATCATTGAGAAAATCAAATGAAATATCAAATCAAAGTTAGTCTTTGATTTCTTCATCTTCTCCCTTTTTTGCTGCAGTTAATTTCACAAACATTGATGTGCACTCATGGAGTTGAACAAACTGTGCTTGACAGTGTGATCTGAAAGCTCTTCCCTTTTCTTTTGTGGTTATAATGTTGATTAATCTGTGATGTGGAATCCTTTGTTCTATTGATATCTCTTTGCTGATTACGTTAGAATTTAGCACTCAGTAAGAATGTACTAAGTATTTTTTTGAGATATTTTTAGTATATCTTGGAAGAACCTCAACATGAGGTGGGCAAAATTATTCTAAACTACCTGTACATTACCCAGATTCTAGAATAAAATTGACTAGATTTTCACACCTTAAGGACTTCAAGTAACCACGTTTAGTTTAATAACGTTTGAAGTTTATGTTGCTGAGGTTATGTACGGAAAATGTCCAGTTGTTTTTATTGTTGGAAGAAGAAAGATAAGCTGAAAATAAGCCAACTTATTTCTTTGTAAAGTAAAGTTGTTGTAAATGTAATTGATGAAGCAGTCTCAATATTTTCACTTTTGGATCCTGTGAATTCTTTATATTTTCTTGAAGTCCATTTGAATTATCTTGGATTCTTGATATCCATCTGAGATTAGCAAGCCATTACCTACCTACTGTCTCCAATTAGATGCTTAGTTATCATCTTTTACATGTTTGGTATTCTCATGTTAAAGAAGATTTTTGCTAAATGATAAGTAAATTGGCTGTTTGCATAAAGGACAGTGGGTAGATTATTAAAGACTGAAACATGGCAGTAATGTAAATGCCAGTAATAGTGCTACACAGTAGTAACAATGACATAGTACACAATGCCAACTTCAGCTTCTTCAACATATCTTTCCCCTTCCTGCAAGAACTTCGGTATGCATGAAAAAAGAGGCTGTGTATTCATTCACTTCATAAATATTAATATCTCCATTAAAAACTTGCAAATGAGACACATTTTGTTCCTAAAAGAAAAAGGAAGTTAATTTATTCTTAGACTTTGTATCGGCCTCCTGTCTGGGTTTTACCTAGCGCCACATCCCACTAATTTTCTGGAACATAGTAACAAGAGAACTGTTCATCTCTCTATGTGAAAATTGAAACTGTAACATTTGTTTAGTCTAGTCTTAAATTCTTAATGCTCCACATTGAGTGTAATATAAACTTTTGAGGATCGTTTAAGTGTTCATTTGTTTGGCCCTCATGGTTTGGGGTTGGTTTGTCCTTTAGTTCTCCAACCCAATTTAGACTAAGTGACATATGTTAAACGTTTCGCCTCAAAAATTCTATTCACAGCCCTTCATTTGCTAAGCACAGCCTCATATTTTTCATAACCCTATTATATCCTTAGTACTGTACTTCGTACTGAACAAACCTAATACAGCTCGTAGACCCTCCCAAGAACTGGAACACTGTTACAACCCCGTCAAATCCTTGTAGCTCATGTATGAAGAGAAAGGAAACTCAAAATTAAATACATTACCGATTAAAAATGTCAAGAATCACAGATTTACATGTGTAGAAGTGGAGTTGATCAAATGGTGCCTTTTTTATTTTGTTGAAAGAATTTTATTCCAAAAAATTCAATAGAGTAGCACCTCTAGCACATACGAAGTATGTTTGATGTTACCATTATCGAGAATTCATCTTACTTCTCCTTATTCGAAGTAGTCAACACAAGTAGCACATATATTTATCACTTCTCTTTTATTCGAAGCATTTTTCTTCTTCCCCTTGTTCGCCTTATTCGAGAGATCTAATCTCAGTGTTGATCGAAAATGTCTAATGAGAAAAGGGCCGCAAAGGATTGTGAAAAGCCTAAAAGGATGAGCCTCAGAGTTGCAGTGCGTAGTGGTCAAAGTGTTGCAGGAGTAATTACAAAGTAGAAATCGTATATGACCGCCTGTTTACTCGAGGGTATCTTAGAGATTTCAGTTATATTAGGGGCCCTAAATAGCAATTTAGGGTCTGTGATTAGAATTACCCAACGTTTTATGGATTTGAGACTTCGAGTTATATACTTATGTACTACGGACCCGTTTACTTTCGACTTAATGGGCTGAATAGAACTAGTGACTTAATCATTCAGTTATATAGTAGTGTTTACTTACAACTTAATTTTTAATGCGACTTAGGATGTTTTTACTTGGACTGTAATTTGCTGGTCTGGTCTGGTCTGGTCTGATCTGGTCTGATCTGGTCTGGTCTGGTCTGAACTGGTCTGGTCTGGTCTGGTAAGGTCTGGTTTCTTTGTATTTTTATAACTATCCAAGTCTGGTCTGGTCTGAACTGGTCTGATCTGGTCTGGACTGGTCTGGTCTGGGACAAATTACAGTCCAAGTAAAAACATCCTTATTCGCTCAGTCAAGTTGTCACTTATTCGCTCAGCTCCGTTTTAACACTCCTTTGCATTCAGACGCGTTTGCGTTAAACGATTGTCGTCTTTAACCCTGCCTTCTCCTTCAAAAATTTCTTCTCAGCGGCTACAAACCTGTGAAAATCGCCGGCTCACAGCAACTTGCGAGATGCCACCGCTCCCAACAACTTGTATCAAGAAATCAGCGAAGAGAAGTCTCGAACCTGCCCTTTTCATCTAGGTATTTCATCTGATTTTATATTTTTTATTCTCTCTTTCTCTCCTTATCTTCGATCTGGTGCTGGCTTTCTAAACAATCCATATATTTCTGGTAAAATCACTATATTGTAATTGTTTGGTAAAATTTATGAAGTTCAACTTAATTTAGATATGCCATAATACTTCTTCTCTTCTCCTTTAAGACAGCATGAAGAAGAAAAGTGCAGACGAAAAAAGAAAGCTCAACGATTGAATTATGCCCAAGGCAAAGGATATTTGTTCTTGGGATGTTGATACACCATCTATTTTCATGATTTCTTTTTATTATTGTTGGAATACACAATGAGTTCTTGTCTTCCAAACACTGTGTTAATTGTTGATTCATTGTTTATTGTTTTTCCCAGGGCAGATTTCATTTGTAGTTAACGTAAGTAATAATTGCAATTTTTTGTGGCCAGTGTTATTATTATTTATAAACCTGTCATCATTTTATCTGTTGGCAATTCGTAGCTTGGAGAAGAAATAGATACGCAGTAGAACGCAATGGGGAACAAACATCACAGAGTAAAACACAAGACAAATTTATGAGATGATATTGCTAATGATCATCACTTGTAATAGACAGAAGGGTAAATTGGGAATTTAATATAATTCAGACTATACATTCAGCACACATAGTAAACAGCTTGTTATCTCAGTGTCACTTAATCCAGACAGACCTCTTAATACAGACAAACGTCTTAATCTAGACAGGACTTAATGAAAATTAAAGTAAACAACCCCTACGTATGACTATGCATGGACCCGGGCTGGACCTAGGCCCGGTCGGGCTTTTGAGGAATGGGGGAGGCCCGGAACCAGCCCGGGTTGTCACCGGGAATGGGCCGGGCCGGGCCTCGGGCTACTTAGTTTATTATTTTTTTTGGCTTTTCTACTTAACCCCCGACCCCACCCCCAAAACACCCCAAAACACCCAGCCCCAACGTAAAAAAAATTATGTTACACATTTTATGACAAAAAATTGTCATATTTTATTGAGATATAGTTACAAAATGTAAATTCGTCACTTTAAAATGATTTCTTGTGACAATATCATTGATGGTCACTTTATCTCTTAAATTTTGTCACTAATTGATATAATACATGATGATATAATCAAATTTGTCACCTAAGTTTTGAGCGCCAAAATTTAACATAAAATTTTGGAGGGAATTTTTTGGTGACGTTTTAACAATAATTAATGATGATAATTTGTGTCATAATATTTTTAACTATAATGACATTTCATATTTTGTCACTAATTGTGTTATTTAAAATGACAACATTATTCCGTCATTGATTTTTTTGAAAGGATTATTCCGGAGATATTACCCAAAATGGGACTAAAAAGTTTGGAAATTCCAAAATAGGACTTCCATGTTTTTATTCCCAAAATAGGACTAATTACTGTCATGTTTTGGCAGTACCAGACTTCAAACATGACAGTATTTTCCAACTTTGGCAGTAATTAGTCCTATTTTGGGAATAAAAACATGACAGTCCTATTTTGGAACTTTTTTAGTCCCATTTCGGGAACTTTCCCATTATTCCGTCATTGATAATCCTCTTTGGTGACAATAAATTTAAATTTGTCATAATAGTCCTATTTAATAACATTTTAATGACATATCATATTTCGTCACTAATTGTGTTATTTAATAATGACAACATTATTCCGTCATTAATATTCCACTTTGGTGATCGTATATTATTCGGTACTACTTTTTTTTTATATGGACACAAATACGTATAAATGATACTCCATAACATTTTAGGGACCATATTAGTATATGTTACTCCCTCCGTCCCTGAAACTTCTTCCATATGGCACACGGATTAAGAAAGTGGGAATTGTGTGGTCGAGAGTTGTGCAGAAGAGAAATAAACGTGTAAGAATGTGTAAGAATTGCTGTGAACCACAAATTATTTGCCAAAAAGGGAAAGTAGAGTTCTTTTTTAGACGGACGAAAAGTGAAAATTGTAAGTATTTTTAGGGAAGGAGGGAGTATTGTTAGATGAAAATTTAAGTTTCAGTCTCTTAAACATTTCTAAGTTTCCATCTCGGCATAGCCAGGATGGAGCTATTGGAAATGGTATGCCCTGGATAATTACTAAGACGCTTTCATGTAGTTTCTTTTAAATATTTTTTGGACAATCTGCTAAATGACAAGTGATTGTTTATGATAGCATGTGTTTGCACGTTTATTTTCAATTAATTGATGATTTTTTCCGTTTTGGTGAATGCATGAACTTTCTAAGATGCCTCCATAGCATATTTGACTAATTGATAATGGTATGAGTTTTAAGGTTCATGCAATGAATATCATTGTTTGGTCAAAGTGTAACTTTAATCACAACTCCATATGTTCTATGCTTGACTGTTCTAAAATATTACGGATTAATTGATAAACACATGAAAATGAGATTACTAGTGATGATGAAAGTGCATATAGAACAAAAATATTTGGGTGTTATGGTGCTCTTTTTTTAATTTGTGACAGGCAGTTCCTTAGAGCTCCAAGGGTACATTACAAAAATACTAACTATTTTCATCACTACTCTTACGTTATATTTTAAGGGAAAACTCATGCAATTATTCATTAGCTCTTATGATGTTTGTATGTGGTAAGGTGTAGTATAATTTTTGGTTGTTTTTATTTTCTCCTTGTATTTGCAGGAAGAGAGTGCTCTATTGCTATTAAATCTTCAAACGATTTGCAAGGTTTTTTGTTTTGTTCTGATGGTT